ATTTTGGTCTTCTTCTTCTTCCTGTTATTTAAAACTTGAAGTGCTCTGTTTGTGAGCTTGTACTCCATCGTCTCTATCTGCACGAGCCTCCCCCAATATTGTGTTGTGATGCTACTCCTTTGGGAACTGGATTCTGGGAAGAAGGCACAGCTGTAGTATAATTTTGTGCTATTCTCGGCTGTCAAATGATTGCTCATTAATCATCACACTTTGATGCCCCTCATTGTTCATTACAGCCAATCCATGCTGAAGATCAAGAAGTTTACTAGATCACGCTGAAGCATGGCATCTCTTGCCTATTATTTTTTTTTTTTCTTTAAAGTTTTGGATAGAATAGGGAAAAGTTAGAACCACCGTCATATTTTGTGACTGTTGAGATTTCTCCTCTAATCCAGGTAACCATTAGGACTGGATGACCATTATTACCTGGACAGAAAGTGATGGGAAGATGAAAGATTTTTGAGTTGGTGCTAGGCAGGCCCAGACTGGCCATATAGCACAACGGGCATTTGTTTGGATAGAAGGGGTGGCACATAGAGGAACCGATCCTGCAACTGCTGAATGCCCACTTCTCCTCCTCTCCCTCCTGCAGGTATTCAACAGTGGCAGGAGAGAAATGGATGGATCGGTTCCTCTATGTGCCATCCTATCCATCTTCCCCTGGGGCCCCTGTCCCACTGTGAGGATGGAGAGCAGGGAAGGGGCCAGTAAATGTCATTTACCAGCCCCTTCTTTTTCTGTTCTTTTTCTGAATGGTCACTCAGTGATCAGTACTGATCACTGAATTTGTCTATTCATAACTGAGCAGGGGCACACTGGACCAGGGGCAGGGTGGCAATTGCCCCGGGCCGCTCTGATGCCACTGTAGGGGGGCCCCAGGAGGCCTGACTGTTTCTCCCCAGTGGCTGCAGGGCTCTGAGCTGAGAGAATCTCTCACATAACCAAAGCCAGCACTGGCTGACTCCTTCCTTCCTTCCTTCCTTCCTTCCTCTCTCCTCTTAATATGCTTGTGCACATTTATTTATAAGGCTAGCCACTTCAATTTCAATTCGTCTATGAACAGGCTGGTTGCAATGAAGCTCCAAGGGAAAGGTGCCCGGGCTGTTCAGTTTAAAATGCCTGGGACGATTTTTTCCCAGTCCAGGCCTGGCACTAGGACGAGGTGAGGGCAAATCTTCTGAAACATCTGGTTCATGGACTACAAAGGCAGGCTATAGATTATACATCTTTCTTTCCTTCCTTCATGGGTGGAAGGAAAGGCAAGTGCTTAATTTCCCCATCAACACAGTCAGTGTTGATGGGGCAATCTCTCCCGCAGCACTATTGTGTTCTGCTGACGGGGAGCTTTCCCCGCCAGCAGACCACAATGATTATTGTTGCCGGCTATAGCCAGTGGCACTAATCGTTCAGGAAGAACCTGACAGACTGATTGTATGCAAGTTGATCAATAGATTGACTTGTGTACAACCAGGGTGCCCATATATGGATCGAAATTCGTCCGGTGCCTGCTGAAATGTATGGCCTGTTTAAAGTTGGACCTGTGTGCTTAACAAAAAAAATCTCACAATAAATGGCAAAGATGGACAAATCTTCCATGGACACTACTGTATTCTGAAAGCCGGCTCCAGTGGGCGCTGTCAAACAGTGACTGCACTTGATTGTCTGCAGTCACTGTTTCACCGAGAAATATCCACTCCCTCAATCTCCTGATCAAACGATATTGGGCGATAGGAGCTGACAGGGCCACCCACTGCTCACATTTCTTTCAGTGTATGGCCAACTTAAGACCAGATACCTTCCTACTTTAAAAATCGCTGCTTATTAGTAGTTGAAAAATTTACTTTTAAAGAAAAATGTTTGATAACATATTTACCTTATCCCATCTTTCATGTTGGAGGGCGAGGCATCCCTTCTGGCAAGTATCACATCAGCTTCCTAAATCTTGTGAGTAGACACTAACGTCAAGTGCAAGAGCATCTTTTCTTAAAATTTGACCTGTTTTGTCCTGCTTTGTATTCCACAGGTTCTCATCAGAAATTGGGAGCACAGTGACTTAGTAGTTAGCCCTTCTGCCTTGAAGCACGGGGGTCCTCAAATGGAATCCAGTTCAGGACACTATCTGCATGGAGGTTGCATATTCTCCCTATGCTTGTGTGTATCTTCTCTGTGTACTCTGGGTACATACTGGTAGGTTAATTGGTCCTTGTCTAAACTGGCCTTTATATGTGTGTGTACATCTGAGGTAGGGACCTTAAGCCGGCCATAGATGGATCAACGGAACTTGCTGAATTTCTATCTGTCTATGGGCAGGCTGGTTGTACTGTAGTCAATTCATCAACTGACTTCAGCACAAACAGCCTGTCAGGTTTTTATTGCCTTATGTCTGCCAGTGGCTATAGCCACCAGTAGTGATCATTGTATTCTGCCAGTGTGGAAGGCTCCCTGTCAGCAGAACACAGTAGCGCTGGGGGAGGGTTTGCCCCACCAACATGGATTGTGTTGAAGGGGAAGTTGAGCAATTTTCTTTCCTTCAACTAAATTCCATAAGAGCAGGGACTGATGTGAATGTATAGTATGTAAAGCACTGCATTAATAGCTGTAATCAGAAATTGCTTAGGCATGGAAGATGGAGGTAAAGTAAACACCCTGTTGTTGGGAGTAAGTAGTGCCACTGTTGGATGGAACTGTGCATCTTTACTTCTTTCCTTTGAATTTTGTGTTTTGTCTGAAGGTATAAAGAGCAGTCCACCTTAATATTATATTTTAAGGTTAAGTCCACCAAAAAAAGTGTTATTGCAGTTGAAGATGGAGCCTGGTAGTCAGATTCAGTCCTCTGTATTCAGTGGTTAGGCCCCAGACCAAGCTCCCCCCTCCATAATTTCCGAATCTGTTCCTGTCCACCTGGGAGTTTAGGTGTCCCTGACCACCTTTGTGTGTTTTAGCTTCTATCATTATCCATAATATAAGTAGAAAATAGAGAACGTAAGGTGGGAGCTCCTTATAGTGGACACACTGGTGAGTAGAGATGTGTAGGATGAAAAAATTCATTTAGTTTTGGTTTCATCCATTAAGAAAATAATTTTGTTTTGTCATAATGATTGTTAGAATGTTTCATTTTCAGAATTTTTTCGTTGTTTTGGGAGAATATATATTTGTTGTTTCAAATCGATTTGTATTTTTGGAAGTTCTGTTATTCTTTTTTTATTTTGGAAGATTGGCTGTATTCGTTTTAATGGTAATTTTTTATTTCGGGAAATTACTTTGCACTCTGAGTCATCCCTGCTTGTCCAACCCACACAAAGAAAAATGGAATGAACTGAATAGACAATATCAACTGGAGTCACATGCATCTGAAAGTAACAAAGGGAGCAAAATTAATTTCAGATTAATTTGTTATGTTATGATTTGGAGATTTTGATGGATCCGCCTGTATCCAATCCAAACACAATAGGTAGAAATCCTCATATATACCTTACTGTATTTATTGAAATGTTTCTATTTCATATGTAGTACATTTTTATAATATTGAAAAATGTTAATGCAAAAAAGAAACGCCTGATTATTAGAATGTTCACGCTACGCTCACTAGAATAAGAACTTATGGATCAGAATCAGTTCAAATCATTTGTTTTGTCAATGTGTTATTTTGGATGCTTCAAAAATTAATAAAAGGACCAAACTTTCCCATCATGTCATCCGAATGAAACAAATTAATTTGTTGTTTTTGTTATAATTTATTTCGGATTAGTTGAAACTCGTTACTACTTGATACATCTGAATCTCTAAATCACAAAAAACTTGCCCAATTTTCCATTTCTAATAAAATGAATTGCACATGTCTACAGGTGACATCTCACCAATAGAGTCCCCAAGAGTTAGGTAGCCCATACATTGATCATTTTATTTCATTCAATTAGCAGATTGAATGAAAAAAAATGATTTGATTCATTCATGCTCATACTAGAGGTGAAGGGTGGAATCACTTCTGCTAAGCTATTGTATTTTGTCATTGGGGAGTCTTCCCTGCCGTCAGAATACAATGATTAATGCTGCTGGCTATAGCAGTTCGGTGCGACGCAATTTTGCAAAAGGGTCAAGGACTTTTTTTGAGCGATTCTCGTGCGTTGGGCAGTCCATTATCCATTTTTTACAATGGGAAGCCGTACGCTTGAGAATCGCTCAAAAGTCCCTAACCCTTTTGCAAAAACACGACTCATGGGAGTGAGGATAATACACAGAAGCATGTGCGCACTTCATCACACCTGCGTGATATGAACAGAGCCTTAGGTGTTTGCCTTGTTAGATGTTAAATATCCAGCACTCAACAAACAATGCAAATATCACCATTAGGTGAACTTATCTTTTAAGATCACATTATGATTGTGAAAAAAATATTAATTAGGTTCATCTTTTTAATGGATTGTTTCTAAATGTATTGTTTTTCTGTACATTTTAGAACATTGACAATGGTTGCAGTGAATGTGTTTTTGTGTATTGGTCATTTGTATGTGTTTAGACAGAGGCTCCGCGTGTGCCTCTTTTGTTAGCTGCTAGACTCAGGGGACAAGATGGTCAGAGGAGCAATCGTGCAGATTATTATGTCATGCTATGCTGTTTATAGAATGGAAGTGCAGTATCCACAGATGACTTGTGAGCTCCCTTCACAGGATGTCTGCTATGGGCCAGTCTGCCTCCCTCCCCTTTTTCTCATCTCCAGGCTATAATCAGGGGGGGTGATAATTGAGTTACCATATCACATAGCAAAACAGCACACACAAGCAAAAGGCATCCCTGGAAGAGTTAAATGTTCTTTGCAGTCTTGGAAGAGGAGGGGGTGTCCAGGGAGGAGAGGGCTATAAAGTAGCTTGTTGGGTCTTATAAGGAGTAAAATTGCAGACAGAGAACAGACAGTGATGAGCACCTCACCAGAGATGGATGAGGGGACTGACAACTCAACCCTCTTCCAGGGAATGCCGGACAACCTAACCCTCTTTCCTGGAATGCTCGACTGCGAGTATGATGAGTGGGAGCCATCAGTTGGACTTATACCCACCACTTACTTCCTCATCTTTTTTTTGGGCATCACTGGCAATGGTCTGGTGCTGTGGGCCAGCCACCACCGCAGGGAACGTCAACGAGCGGCAGACACTTTCATAGTCCAGCTGGCAATTGCTGACCTGGCTTTTGTGGTGACCCTACCACTGTGGGCTGTCTACGTATCCCTAGGATATCACTGGCCCTTTGGCAAAGTGGCCTGCAAAGTCAGCGGATACATGGTGCTTCTCAACATGTACGCCAGCGCCTTCTGCTTAACAGGACTGAGTCTGGACCGGTACATAGTTATTGTGCTATCCCCAGGACCAGGGCACTCACGGTCTCCACTCTCCAGCCCAATGGCCATTGCAATTACTTGGGCAAGTGCAGGTCTGCTGGCTCTTCCTGCCATTATCTTCCGGAACACTGGACAAACAGATGAGCTCTTTGACAACAGGACATTGTGCTATATGGACTACTCGGCAGTTGACAGTAGTGGGCAAACTCACCTTTGGGAAGCTGGCTTGGGATTTTCCTCAACGTTGTTGGCCTTTGTGGCGCCATTTTGTGTCATCCTCTTCTGCTATGTGGGCATTGGCCGCCGGGTTTCTGGCCACTTCCACCTGCCTCTAGTTGCAAGCAGGAAAAGGAGGCTGTTGGCCATAATGGTTGGGCTTGTGGTCACCTTTGGGGCATGCTGGGCCCCATTTCACCTGGTTAAGAGCATCTACGTCCTGATGAATGCAGAGGTTTTACCACTGAGTTGCAGTCTGCATGTCTTCCTCAATAATCTGCATCCCTATGCCACCTGCTTAGGGTATGCCAACAGCTGCCTAAACCCCGTCCTGTATGCTTTTCTGGATCCCAGGTTCAGAGGACACTGTCGCCGGGTGTTGGGGTGTGGAGTTCTCCTGAGCGGTACAGAAGGAGAAAACCGAGCAGAAGGGCAAAAAAACTCATGTTGGCAGCTCTTCTGGAGATGGTGCAGAAGTGGGGGGTAAGCCCATTAAGGTTTCCACAGAGGAGGAGGACATTGATGGAATGAAACACTAGACACTGGGGTAACAAGTCGTAAAACATTTTCATTTATTTTTGTTCTGCTGTATTTCTGGATGTTGCTTTTCCAAACAATTCCATCTTAGGGGTGCAGTGTTTTTATGTTTGGTTTCACAACCCCAAATGGAAGTTACCTAATTTGCAATTTGAGAACATTGGAGGACTTCAGGGTTAAAAAACTGTTTCTCTAAAAGACTAGAGCACTTACAGACTCATGGGGTTTGGGGACACAGAGGTTTTGTTGTTTGTTTTTGTATATACTTTTATAATAAAAAATTTTGAGAATTAATGAGAGGTTGCACTGAAGTAAAGTGGAATGACAGCTAACGAATGGGTGTAAGTTACAGCTTATATAGATAGGCAAGTTGTATTGCGGTTGACCTGTGTATTCCTCAATGTGTGGATGACAGTTTGGAGGCTGCATTTGACCTGCCTTGCTTTGTATTGCTTTGGAAAAAGGTCATACTGAGCTGTGCTTGCAGTGATGGCATAGTGGATTAGAAAAAGGTCAGCAATGAATTCCCTTGTATATTTCTCATGACGGATCTCCTTTTAAAGCTTGATATTTCAGTAATAAAGGAAATCTGTCAATAAGGAATCACAATAAGGGCTCCCATTGCTGGCCCCTTTCTTCTGAAAATGATTTCTGCCTGGCTTTAAGCACTGAAATTACTGACACAAAACAAAAATAAATTGGCTTCTTGCTTTTTCTGTTCAGAAAAACTGTAGAAGGCAACTAGCATCTTCAGAAGAATACCAATAGATGCAGCCTCAATATTTTTCTCTTGTGTACTTTATTGGAAATCAGTACTAAGCATCTATGGAACCAAAGAGCTGACCTTTATTTCTGAAACTTCTAGTCCACTGACTGTCATGCTGATCCACTGGCTTTATTGATTTGTGAGTCAATGCCCCATAATGAGTACACAGATTAGGAGTTATGGTCTACAGCTTGACTTTCCTGATCTGGGTCAGAGTCTCAAGAACTACTGAATCTAGAGACAGCCATGCATAGCGGTAAAAAACTTTGAGCTTTTGCAACCACTTTAAATCTCCACCAGGGTGTTCATACCTCTCCAAAACTGGACACATATAGATTTCCTTTGCTCAGCCTGCAGGTTCAGTGAAAAAAATCTAACAGATTTCTCCATCCATTTTAAAGCTGGCCATGCATGGTTCAGTTTTTTTTGTTCAGCCAGCGGGCTGAAAGAAAAAACTGAACTGATTTCCCCCTTCCCTACATTTGATGGGGATGGGAGAATCTTCCCCGCTGTGTCATTGTATTCTGACAGTGGGACTCTCCCACTGTTGGACGGCACTGATCAGAACTGCAGGCTGATTGACTGCATGCACTGATAGATCGACTTCTCATGCATGGGATTGGCCATAGATGAATCAAAATTAACAGCATGGAAAAACATGCAAACTTTCATTTTAACATTCCTTTCAGAAAGAAGGTTTGTACCTCATATCATTTTTAAGTACGGGATAACATCACAATCTGTACTATCTCTCAATTAGAATGACCAAATCTATGTAATATGAAGGCCTATGACCCTTTGGTAGATTTAAAGGAGACCGTTCAATCAGGTTATAATGTTAGGACTGCTTTAGACAAACAATACAGTTCAAATTAATCATCCAGATGATTGATCTCTTATTGTGGCTGGTTTCCCAAGTAAAACAAACTTAATCATACACACAACACATGCATATTATTTTGTATTATAATCCTTTTAAAGCTAAACTCTGGGCACAGAAACTTTCATTTAAATCCCAACTCCAGGATATAGGCAAAATCTACCTTGTTGAGGTGGCCCCACTGCAATAATTAAATGCTTGGCAAATTTAGAAAGAAGATGAAGAGGCTCTTGGAGGCCATTGGCTCTTGTTGCTGTCAATCAAATTCAGTGACAAGGGAGCAGGGGGCAGGGTTGAGCTGCGCTGTCTGTGTCTATAGACGCAAGCATCACGGCTTGGGATCAAGGCCACAGAAGTGTCCCATAGCAAGCAGCTTTCTATGGGGGCAGTCACTGAAGAGGAGCCAGGAGCACAGGCGGGGGACCTGAGAAGAGGAGGATCCAGGCTGCTCTGTGCAAAACCACTACACAGACCAGATAAATAAACCATGTTTATTATTTTAAAGAAAAAAAAAGGTTTACAATAACTTTAAATCACATCTTCTGAAAGCATATCAAAACCCAAAAAAAAAAAACATAATATATCGCAACTTACCAGCTCTTAGATGTGGTGGCTGCATTAGTTTTCAGCTGAGAGTGACAACTCAGATCCTCATTAGATTCAGTACAATGAGTGTTGTCACCCTAGGAAGTGAGTTGCTGGCAGGATCACCAGTTGAAAATAAAGGGAGAAAAAAACTTAAAAAAAAAAAAAATCTAAGGACTGGTAAGCTGCATTGTCCAATATTTTACTGTAGCAGCTGAAGTAGGAACAGAGGGGAAAACAATGAGGACAACTGTCTAAGGGCTCATTCGCAACAGGGACTGCACTCCTATGAAAAGAGATGCACACTTTTCCCACCCACAGGGGTGGTTGGCAGGTGGTGAGGAGATATGTTGCCTCCTCACCACCTGATTTAACCATGTAATTTGCCATATTACAGATATGCACACACTTGCAATGTAGGTGCAGTACGGCAGCATAGAACTTCATTAGTTATGGTCAGTGGCAGCACTGCAAGCTGAAAGAAACATGCTGTTTAAGTTTAAGCTATATGTTGGTGTTGAGGCGGGCAGTTGGGGGACCATAAAACAGCGGCTCAACTGCCTGGTTTTACTACACCACTCCCCCCCACCTCACATATGAACAAGCCCTAAAGGGAGATGGATTTCTTCTGAATTTAGAGAGACTTCATCTCACTTCCTGTTCTGTCTCTGTGCCACAGTAAAAAAAAATGTCATATGGGTTGTGAGGATACCGCTCTCTATGCAAAACTAAACAAAAACATTTCAGTTATGAAAAAACTTATGATTGGTTGGTCTTTTCTTAGGAAAGACTAAAGCTGGACTGACACTGTTGTTTTTTTTCATTCATCCATTGGGCTGAATAAGAAAAAAATCAGATTCCTCCATCCACTTTGTGTAGAAGGGAGGAATCGCCGCCGCAACTTGGAACACTTTATTCTGACAGTGGGACCCTCCAGACATGTCTCTTTGAAAGAAGTTGATTAAATAATCAATTTCTGTCAAGCAGGGAGCCCACACACTGATCGAAATTTGGCTGGTCCCTGTTGGCCATACACTAGTACAATCTTGTTTGAAAATTTCGATTTTGTATTGGTTAGTGGGTTCGAATCAACGATTGTTTTTGACCACTGGGACAGGAAAATTCAAAGGAGCAAGATAAAACATTTTTCTCCAAAAAACGAAATTCTAACTGAATATGAACCGATAATAGAAAATGTGTGCCGCTCAGGCTACAAGGGAAAGCAATCCTATGTCCACCACTGCCTCCAAGCAACTGTTTATTTATTTAGCTATTAAGCAAAGGATGGACCCATGAAGCCACATCTATCCAGACCCACTGGTATTGGAATGAATGACAGTCTCAGCCTGAGCTCCCACTAGGCCACACCCCCAACATGAGTGAAATGTGTTGGAGGTGTGGCCTGGTGGCAGCCCAGGATGCGAGACTGCCATTCATTTTAATACCAGCGGGTCTGCATAGATGTGGGGCTTCATGGGATCCATCCTTTGTCTAACTTGAATATGGTTTCTGTTTGAGAAAAAATCATACCTATCATAATATGCATGTTCTAGGCCAGTGGTCTCCAAACTATGGCCTGGGGGGCAGATGTGGCCCTTTGTTTGCCTTTATCTGAGCCTTCAGGCACTATTCCTGTCATGGATGCAAGGCACTCTTCTTCCTACTGACACCGGCAGTGGAGCACCACTATCGCCAGTGATGGGGCACTATTCCTCCCACTGACACCAATGATGGGGCACTATTCCTCCCACTAATACCAATGATGGGACACTATTCCTCCCACTGTCACCAATGATGGGGCACTATTCCTCCCACTGACACCAATGATGGGGCGCTATTCCTCCCACTGATGCCACTACTCCAATTTCTTCCCACTGACACCAATGATGGGGCACTATTCTTCTCACTGGCACCAATGATGGGGCACTATTCCTTCCACTGATGCTAATGATGGGACACCATTCCTCTCACTCATACCAATGATGGGGCACAATTCCTCCCACTGATACCAGTGATGGGGCACTATACTTCCCACTGACACCAATGATGGGGCACTATTCCTCTCGCGGATGCCAATGATGGGGCACTATTCCTCTCGCGGATGCCAATGATGGGGCACTATTCCTCTCTTGCGGATGCCAATGCAATGATGGGGCACTATTCCTCTGGCGGATGCCAATGATGGGGACACCATTTTCCCGCTCATACCAATGATGGGGCATTATACTTCCCACTGATACCAATGATGGGGCATTATACTTCCCACTGATACCAATGATGGGGCACTATTCCTTCCACTAATACCAATGATGGGGCACTATTCCTCCCACTGATACCAATGATGGAGCACTATTCCACTGATGCCAATGATGGGGCACTATTCCTTCCACTGATGCCAATGATGGGGCACTATTCTTCCCACTGATGCCAATGATGGGCACTATTCCTCCCACTGATACCAGTGATGGGGCACTATACTTCCCACTGACACCAATGATGGGGCACTATTCCTCTCGCGGATGCCAATGATGGGGCACTATTCCTCTCGCGGATGCCAATGATGGGGCACTATTCCTCTTGCGGATGCCAATGATGGGGCACTATTCCTCTCGCGGATGCCAATGATGGGACACCATTTCTCCCGCTCATACCAATGATGGGGCATTATACTTCCCACTGATACCAATGATGGGGCATTATACTTCCCACTGATACCAAT